AGAAATCCATGCATGATCCTAACTATACAGAAATGCCTAATGCAACACATGCAAAAATGCAACTATAGTAGGCTCGGCTACTCTAAAATGACATGTGAAATGCTACAACTAACAAGTATTCAACTTGGAATTGAGACACAAATGCAGTTAGTATGATGCGCCGAGCCTGGTGCATGCAAAACAGATGAATGATGCAAACATGCAAGCATAAGTATGCTAATTGAAACATGCCCTAATCTAACCATCATAAGCTGATAAATAAAAGGGAGAAAGATATGGGATTGGAAGACATACATCACACGCACACACATTTATTACAGTTGTGCCCTCACTCTGAGGGTCCGAATAAATAATACAGTCCGAATGAATAATTACAGTCCGAATAAGTACAAAATCCTAATTAATTAACAACTTAACTAGGAAAGCGGATAAATTAGCATGCAAGCCATGGACCGCCTTAGCTCTGTTCCGAATGATGAAAGATGCATGCTTGAGTTGCTTGGCGCAGAAATCCATTGCGATGCCCCGATTCGCCTCTGTTTACACTTAATACCGGAATGCGGTGCAAGGCTTTAGAAAGCTACTAATTTCTGATTTGCTGCAACAGAGAGCAAGAAAGGGGCACAGTAAAGTATTTTCACATATGTATGCAGGACTACACCTCGATCCTCGTGCCACCAATCACGCATCTCGATGTATGATGGCCGAGGAGTCGAATTGCACGACTCGATGTGATATGAATGCACATGAAAACACAGCAAGACCTAAACTCCATCATGGGTAATCCGGAGTGTCGGCGACCGGGAATTGAGACACGTTCCGTCACTTGGAGTACGAAACGTCCCTCGTTTCCCGTGTTTGGGCTAACTCCTATCCCAAACACAATGCAAATGAGATGGCATACACAATGCGACTAACATACAACCTAGCATACGCAATGCTATGAAATGGCATACACAATGCTCGATGTAACATGTCATACACAATGCTCTAACATGCAACTCAGCATACACAATGCTATGGACCGAAATGGCATACACAATGCACGATGGACTTACACCAACATGAGTGGACCTCAGCCACGCTCACATCAGTGGGCATCAGATGAAAATGAGATAACCGAAATGTGTGCACATATGCACGAATACCAAGGACCGAACCTAAGGCATGGAATGCCACTCTACCAAAGCATGGCAAGGGATGAAAGATGGCATGGAATAGCATAAATTATAGCTCTGAAACAGCATGAAATATGGTCCCGAAACATGCAAATATGGCACACAATGCAAGCTAGGGGGCCCGGGTACCGAAACTAGTGAAGTGCGTTACTCTAGAGGTACCCAAAGCAATGCACCAAAGGCAAAACCAACCCCAAACAAACCCTAGGCAGGTCTGAAACAGTGGAAAATTGGCCTAAAATGATGACTCGGAATGCAACGAAATAGAGCTCATTCAATGGTCGGTAAATGGGGCATACAAGCCCGACTCTCAAACGGATTTAAAGAGATGAAAACATAGCAACATGGAATTCAAACAAGCTCTAAAATGTGATGAATGATAGGCTCAAAACATGGAAATATCTCAGTATATGCATGCAACGAACCTTAAAACTTGAAGATAGGCAAGTGCCTTGAACTACAAGCATACAAAACTAACATCATTCAACCACAAGACCCAAAAACAGAGCTAGGATAGTCCAAAATGAACACATTATCAGTTCAAGGCATGGCCCAAAGGTGCCAAGATGAAGGGTCAAAACAACATGCAACATAGGCTAGTGAATCATGAGTTGTTCTACAGCTATATGAAGCATATGAGGGCTCACCCAACCAGCCAAAAATAGAAGTATTTCATGCCAAATAAACCCCAAATAACCACTGAAATGCATCCAATGCATGCAAAAATGATGAGCTTCTTTGGAGGGCCATGCAAGGGGTTACTCAACACATACAACAAGGACACATAGCATGGAAAAACCAACTCTGGAAATCAAATATGACAAGCCTAAAACTCACCAAAAAGGCCTTGAAATGGGTCAATGAAGCATACAATGAAAGGCCACCTCAAAAGGCCTTGAATGAAATTGCTCTACACATGCATTACAGACACAAAATAAGACCAAAGAGGCTCCGGACAGAGCTAAGGCAGGCCCTAAAACTCACCAAATTGAGCCCAAAAAGTGACTTCACAACATGCAAGTGAGGGTCTCTTTGGGAGGCCAACAAAGCTAGTAAAGAGAATGAGGGGTGAGAGGGTCACCCCTCTATGATTTTGAAGCTCAAAGGCACATCTAAGCCACTGAAAATCCACTGGATTTCAATGGCTAAAAGGCCAAATCAAGGCCAATGCAAGTGCTCACATGCATAGCTCAAAACATGAGAAAATAAGGCATGAAAGGGGGTAGATGACCCCAAACAGAGAAAATATCTTAAACAAACATGTTTATAAGCTCAAAAGGAAACTTTTTCAAGTTTATGACAAATCTCAAAAATGCTCACAAGTAGGGCTAAGATATGATGCAAAATAAGCCTACAAAGAGGGACAAAGTATACAAGGGTGTAGGAGACCTCAAACAGAAGAGTGTCCTAATCAATATTGAAGAGGAGCTCAAAATATGACACTTTTTAGTTTATGACAAAGTCTAGAAATACTTGAAAGTAAGCCTAATCAATGAAGCAAAAAAAATACAAATTTAAGGGAAATAGGTGCTTACCCTTGAAGAGCAGCAAAGCTGGAGCTTTTGGACCAAGTTGGTGAACCTTCAACCCTTGCAAATCAGTCCCAAAGTTCTGGAATGGATGGAGGAGGTGTGGTACTAAGGGTTGTAGTGCAAATGGTCTAAGAAAACTAGGGTTTGGAGGCTCAAGTGTAGAGATATAGAGAGAGAGGTGTATAAGCTCTAACCAAAAGGTTCAACCCTTCCCAAAGAAGATCAGCCTCCCCTTTATAGAGGAGAGGCTCCAAAATATCCCAAAAGGGCTTCACATAGTGTATGGAGGATGGTCCAATTGCCTCACAGCTGGCACAGCTGTGAGGCATTCAGAGAGGGAAAAAACCAAGAAGCAGGCCGACCAGTTCAAGTGGCCGGCCGGCCACTCCCCCTGGTCGGCCGACCAGGGGTCAAAAGGTTCAAGAAGAATTTCTGGCCGGCCACCCCAAAAAGGTGGCCTCCCAGATGAGTGCAACACAGCTGTATAGTGAAAAACCAGAAAATGTGACCCAAGAGAGAGAAAAACCAGCTTTTTAGCAAGGTTCAAAAGGGTCAAGATGAATTACTGGTCGGCCTACCCATATTGGTGGCCTCCCAGATGAGCACAACACAATGGTGGTATGAAAAGTCAGAAATTGTGGCTCAAAAGTGAGAAAAACCAGCTTTCTATTAGAAAAATCGGCTTTTGGAGAGAGAAAAAGAGAAAACGGGTTTTTCAGGGGAAAAGATGGCCTCTCACCATCCTACCACCTCCCTAACAATGAAAATAGGGTCCCTACCAAAAATGGACCAAGACGGATGCAAAACGAGGGTTCGGGGGCCAAAACGCGCAGTCTGGGGCCCCAAAAACAGGCTGTCAAGCACCGGAAGTGGCTTATGACCACGAAGGTGGTCTCCCGGGCCACAGTGTCCCTCAAAAGAGAGGAAACAAGGTGTGTACCAAAAATTGGAGCAATCGGAGGTAATTAAGCGGTCCCGAACCGAGACGCACGGCCGACGGCTCCAAAAACCGAAAACTGACCTCCAAACGGGAAAAATGGCCTACGACCGCGAAACGTAGCCTACTGCCACTGAGAGATGGTCTACGGGACCTCTCCCTCCCTTCGGGAAGAGAAAACAGAGAAAACAAGATCTGGTTCACAAACCGAGGCAAAGCACAAAAGAGCCCCGAAGTCCGAAGGCAAGGCTCGCAGCCGAGACTCTGAAGCCTCAGAACGAGCACAATATGCAACATCACCGAGCGCTCAACTGGTGACGTCTGAGTCTTAAGGTCGGTCAAAAATAGAATGTCTACAGGTACGTCGAAAATAAGAGAGTTATATTTCAATGTACCCAAAATAATAACAATAATAATAACAAACTTCTCCATATTTTTTACTAACTTTTGTCTACCAAGCTTTTAACTGTGACCAACTTTGTCTTAGGGATGTGAAAAAAAGAAAAAAGAAAATAATTCCGTTTGAGGAGTTAGGTTTTTAATCAAAAAGCTAGTAATTTACTATAAATTATTACATCACTCTTTTTATACATCTTTTTATAAATAAAAAATAAAAAATTAACTAAAATAATTTATTCTCAAATGGAGCCTAAATAAAATATAATTGTATTTTTACATTTCCCTTTGTTTTTCTTTTTATGTTTATAAATCTGTCAACCAAATCCAAAATTTAAACATGCCCTCAGAAATTGAGCCTTCGCTTGGGAAGTAGGTTGACTTTTTGACTTTTAACTATTTAGCCTGAGACTAAAAAATATCGTTTGGGTTAGACTTTTTAGTTTTTTTGACTTTTGTGATAGAAAAAATAAAATGATTATGATTTGGATGTGAAGTTTTGTCTTATTAATTTTTTAAGTTTATTTTGTTATTTTGTGACTATTTTAACCCCAATCTATGATTTCAAACGAAGGGGAAGAGAGATCTGACTAAAAACAGAATTAGCTTGGCATTACAATTCCTTTCTTTTCTCTTATTGTTCCTGTCCAAAACCATGTGGGTTTTCTTCCTAATAATACAACTCTTTTATTATTATTATTATTATTATTATTATTATTATTGGTTATATAGATTACTTATCTCTTTGTTAGCTGCAAGACTCCATCCCCTATCAATGCCGCCAAAAACAAGAAGAGAAAAACTTTTCCCCATCATTTTGTAATTGAATACACCATTGAATAAAGAAGACAGATTGACTAGCTAGCTATAGCTTGTTTTGCCCGTAAAGCTCATCCAAAGATGATGATGATCATATCAAATAGTGAAACTAATTATCATTGCCACCATTTTCTTTGATTAGATTCTGACTGTACGAAAATTGCCATTTGAATGCCCGAAAAAATGTATTTCCAAGTCACTCTTCGTTACCTCTTGCTTCTCCTCTTCTTCTTCTGGATTCAACGACTCAGCATTGCTCTTTACATTCATTTCTCCGTTCTTTCCCCAAAGAACTGCATAGAGCCCCATGACTATCAATCCAGACCCTACAACACTATCATAACAAAACTATGATGAGTCTATTTTCAAAATGCTAGAATTGTTAAATGCATGTTGATTCAGAAAAAAAAGAAAATGAAAATTGGTAAATGATGAACGCACGTTCCAACATATAATTTTTCTTCAAGAAGAGCCAAACTGAGAATTGCCACGATAATGAGCAGCAAGGGACTGAACACAGAGACATATAGAGGACCTTTCCTTTGGATACACCATGACATTAGGCAAAATGCTGCTGCAGTACACACAGTTCCCTGAAATACACAATTCTAGGACTCTTATTATTTTTTTTGTAATTTTTTTTTATTAGTGTCTTTTTCAATTAACTAAGCAGTTCCGTGTAAATGTACATATGTGTTTTAACACACAAAAACTAAAAATAGATGTAATAACAATATATGTTCTTAAACAATCACTATGAGTTTTTTTCAAAAGACATTGAATTCTTTCTAACAAGTGAGTAATTATCGTGTCTTTCAAAATTTTATATTGACTGTGTGTCCACCCAATAGTACATGCTAAATGCATACATGCCCCTCCCCCCTCCAA